TACAAGATGGTAATAAAAAGTGGCATAAGGAGCAATATTGCCTTCTTTTTTTTTTAAAAAAAAAGGAGAGGGTAATAAAAATCCAATGATGAAATGCCTTCTGACACATTGCGGCATTGAACTAAACCTGCTGCATGTGGGGTGTTGATCCAATTAGCTTATTATATCAGAGCTTTCCTCCACTATTTCCTTATCCCTCTTCCAACATCTGTTGCAGAATCCTTTGGACACTTACTATTTTGTTGGTCCCCTCTGTCTCGACATTTAATAGTGTTGTGGGGGTGGGAACTAAAATTAAATAAATAGAAAAATCCTCTTTCTTCTCTTAAGTGAATTCCTGACATCTCCCTCTTTTAGATTTTGAAGACTTGTTCTGCTTAAAGAAACATGGTCATGAAGGCAAAAAGAAGAGCTAAGCACTTCAATAATTCAGTGGCACATCTTCCTCAGATCCTCTTAAAGGCTTGCCTAGAAAACCTTTTTCCTTTGTCTTAAGAGACACTATCAAGCTCGGGAGAGAACACTTAGGCTAGCAAGCCTGGGCAATTTCATTGCTTTAGAAGGTTTAAATAGGAGGTTGAAGTGTCTAGCCTTTCTGAAATTCTAAGGGGTATTTAAGCAGTGATTCTATTAAGTTACAGTTGAAAAGAAGTGACTGATGCCAAGAAAGTCTCTTGGCAGGTGTGTGTATTAGCTTGCTTTGTGGAAAAGAGTACAAAACAAAGTATGAGGAAGGAAACTGCAATTACAAATTCAGCCTGAAATGGATTTTTCTAGAGATAATGATTGCTTCTTGCATATGTTAAAATAAAACATTTACTTTATAGTAAAAATACTAATATATATATATATATATATATATATATATATATATATGGTGAGAATAAAATATGATCACCAGGAAAAGTTAAAACATTAAAAGTTTTAATATAAAACAGAAATTTTAAATAAAAACATTAAAAGTTTAAAAATTAGCAACCTAGCTTTCGTTGGCTCCTGCCAACTTCATCAGGGCGTACACAAATCAATGGGAGTAAACATTTATATGTAAGTTAACGCCTGCGCTCGACTCCTGGACCGTGTAATAGGTCCAGGTTGGCCAATCATAGCATTCCCTGCAATTGCTGCATGATTGAGTGACTCATCTACTTGTATCACACGTCCCTCATCAGAGTTTAAACAAGCCTCCGACTCTCCACTCATCCGTATCCGTGGTCTAGGAGGATCCTCGATCTTATTCCAACTCGAGATGTCATCCCCACCACTAAGTCATCTCCCCCTTCTCTCTTCCTTTGAACTCTCCATGAGTTTATGGCCCTCCCCTTCTCCACCATTCTGACATCTACCCTTAACATCATGATGTTTTTTACAACGAAGCCTCACTCTGGGTAATGTACTTGTGCTTTCACTGCATGGTGCTCCCCCACGCACCACTTTCCCAGCTTTTCCAGCCTTGCTAAGTTCCGTAACAGTTGTTCTCCCTTTTTTTTGAACAGCTGCCAACCCATTGTGGGGGTTGGACTGTAAATCATGTTGGCCAATCATCGAGGCCGTCAAAATCCCCAAAGGTGGTTGCTTGCAAACTCCAGTGGGTCGGCTCTCCTTGCTTCTCCCCCGGAAGGGGTGTGATGTAAAGCGTGATTATTCACACAATCTCGGAAGGCAGCATTACTAGCTGGGGTGAATAGTAGCGTGTGCATTTCACCAGGATCTGCATCGCGCTTTACATCACCCCCCTTCCAGTATAGTATACTATGGGAAGAGTATATAGTAACTCTTCCCATAGTGTGTGTGTGTGTGTGTGTGTATATATATATATATATATATATATATATATATATATATATATATATATATATATATTATGGGATTATATTCCTACCAGCCATTTGGAAACCCGCCCTTATTGACAAACGAGTCCCTAACAAAAAGATTGACACCAGACCCACACTCACGAAAACCACATAGGATGTCACCACAACACATCCATACAAAAAGCAAACCCAAACCCACACTGATGAGGCATGACCACAAACCAGAAGCCAGGCCACAGCTGCATCATTAGCCACTTTAAACCCCTCCAATCCATACATGAAGCAAATTGATACCCCCATGAAGATGAGGCATGACCACGAATGCAAAGCCAAACAACAGCAACGCAGCTCACCATCTCAAATCCCCCTGCAACTTAGACTAACCTGAGCACAACAAAGCCCCCACCCAAACAGAACACTCTCCCAGACAATCAGAGCACAGCCAACTCCCCATCAATCAGAGCACAACCAAGCACCTAACCAATCAGAACACACCTCCACCTAATCAGAACACAGCCAAGCTCCCACCCAATCAGTTCATAACCCCACTGGCAGTTAAAAGGAAGAAACAGCTACAATCACACATTGCTCCTAGAAGCACAAAGCCGAAAATACCAGCCTGAAGATGATGAATGGGACTTCGTCGAAACGTCGCCAAGACACTTCTAATTTTACGTGGGAGAAAACCCGAATAACCAAACACACACACACACACACACACACACACACACACACACACACACACATATATATATAAAATTACATTAAAAATTGAAGAATAGCGATTCCTGGGTACATACATTTCAGTAAAAAAGGAAGCGATCACCAGGAAATAAAACACCAAGGTTTTAATAAATAAAATCAAGCTTTCGATGGCTAACATCTGCCATCATCGTCAGGATACAAGCCAGCTAGTGAGGAAACCTGCTTATAAGCATAGCCACACCTAAATTCTACGCATGGACCTTGTAACAGGTTCAAGCCAACTAATCCTTACTTCACTTACAGCCTTCAGTGATTCTTTCTTTTAGCTCTTACTTACATCCACCTAGCTTTCAATGGCTAGCACCTGCCATCATTGTCAGAATACAAGGTAGCTAGTGAGGAAACCTGCTTATAAGCATAGCCATGCCTAAACTCTACGCATGGACCTTGTAACAGGTCCAAGCCGACTAATCCTTGCTTCACTTACAGCCTTCAGTGATTCTTTCTTATAGCTCTTACTTACATCCACACAACCACCCACTTCCCCCCTCCCTTTAGTTCCTGAGTCATATAGGCAACGTGTGTTTCTCAAAATTAAAGGGTCCTCTGCACTATTGAGTTGATTTTTCTTCCTGTGTTCCTCGGGACGTTTCTCTCCTCCACTCCTCCGGCATGCATTGCACTCATTTGCATTCTTCAATCCTGTCACTCCTTCAATCCCCCCACAATCCTTGCCACCAATCTCATCCACACTTTTATTTCCCCCCACTGTTCCTAGCATATCGCATCCTCCGTGCTCCTCCTTCGTGCCATCCGGTGCAACTCTCAATCCGGTTGCTTCTCTTTCAGTCTTCCGTAACGCCGCTCTCCGGGAGTGTGTGACCACCCCCATAATGGGGTGGCTGTAAGTATTGATCTTCTGTACATCCATTGAAGGCATGTCTCTGTCTCGGTGGCTCTGATCGATGTGGCTGCATAGCAAAGGTGTTATTCTGCCGTCGCTCATAGTAGGTGTTGCCTTTTTTGAATTCCTATCCATTTCCAAGGCACCGGCGACCAGGTGCGTTGTAGCGGGGGCACCATTGGGGACAGTGGAGCCGATATGGTCACTGGGGTAGCAAGTTTGAGCCACCAAGCCAACGAGACAGAGACATGCCTTCAATGGATGTACAGAAGATCAATACTTACAGCCGCCCCATTATGGGGGTGGTCACGCGCTCCCGGAGAGCGGCATTACAGAAGACTGAAAGAGAGGCAACCGGATTGAGAGTTGCACCAGATGACACGAAGGAGGAGCACAGAGGATGCGATATGCTGGGAACAGTGGAGGGAAATAAAAGTGTGGATGAGATTGGTGGCAAGGATTGTGGGGGGATTGAAGGAGTGACAGGATTGAAGAATGCAAATGAGTGCGATGCATGCCGGAGGAGTGGAGGAGAGAAACGTCCCGAGGAACACAGGAAGAAGAATCAACTCAATAGTGCAGAGGACCCTTTAATTTTGAGAAACACACATTGCCTATATGACTCAGGAACTAAAGGGAGGGGGGAAGTGGGTGGTTGTGTGGATGTAAGTAAGAGCTATAAGAAAGAATCACTGAAGGCTGTAAGCGAAGCAAGGATTAGTCGGCTTGGACCTGTTACAAGGTCCATGCGTAGAGTTTAGGTGTGGCTATGCTTTTAAGCAGGTTTCCTCACTAGCTGGCTTGTATCCTGACGATGATGGCAGATGTTAGCCATCAAAAGCTTGATTTTATTTATTAAAACCTTGGTGTTTTATTTCCTGGTGATCGCTTCCTTTTTTACTGAAAATATATATATATATATATATATATATATATATATATATATATATATATATATATATATATATATACTTTTTTTTAGATTGCTAACAAAGAATAAAGGGAGAATTGGAATAGCTATTTCAAGCTTCTTAACTCTCTTCAGCCAGATTCGAACCTGGGCTGTGTGCATGTTAGGCAGTTGTGTAAACTCTAGCCCACAGGCTCTTTCTCACTTTGTCAGCTGTATCAGGGAGGGAAGATGTATGTATGTATGTATGTATGTATGTATGTATGTATGTATGTATGTATGTAATTAAGAGTTGGAAATCCACTTCCACTACCCTTTTATTTAGTAGGATAAATGATACATCACAACTCCAGTCTCATTACGAACAGCATTACACTAATTTTGCTCAGAGAGTCTTTTAAAATGGCATTATACTTCTCTCAATTAAAAGATTTGTATATTTATGTTTCCACTCCTAAAGTCAGTTGCTTTATCTTTATTATCTTAACCATGTTTATGTTTCTTTCACAAGACAGACATTTGCTGAAAGTCCAGTGATACACAGAGCTAAGAAATCCCTATAGGAACTGAAAGGGTTTTATTAAATAATAACAGGATGCATGTGGCATGAGTTAAAAGGTGTACAGTTGCTCTTGTGATAACCATCTTTTGCTGATGCTGAACTTACATGTGATGCAGAACACACCAGCCACAGTGAGGGTCTCCTGAACTCAGACATTCTCCACAGGTTGTATACTGTTCACAGGATTCAACAGGAATCTGGGACACCTAGAGAGAGACAAAAAATAAAGCAAATTTAAGGCAATTGAAATACACTAAGTAAGCAAGCCTAACTCTGCTAACTTTTCCATATAAAATGACCCATTGATATTAAATTAAGACTCATAGGGCCTGAAAGATAAATAATTTGCCTCATATCTCTCTGTTTTTACTGAAATGACAGGAGAAATGGCACATAGAAAGGTAGATAAGATATAACAATGACTCGTTAAGTGTGGTTATCTATTCAGAAGTCAGCTTTGGAAATGAATGGTTCATTCTTCATATATTTCCCTTACTCTCTGGAAAAAATGGCACCACCTAACTGCAATTCTTTGATAAGGAATATATTGATATCACTGGTTAATCAGAATGTCACTTTATCCAATGGCTATGTTCACACATGTTGTGTGAAGCTTAGCACAAGGTCTGAAGCTAGTATTTGAGACAAGATTCAAACTAAATTTCAGACGCCTGTTAGAAGGACATTGTATTTAACCTTAAACACAATTGAAAGAGATGCTGATGTGTCCCTTAACTGTAAATAAAGGGGAAGAGATTCCTAGGAACAGTGGTTGTCAGGAGAAAAAACATTCCCCACTGGGCTAGCTATAGAGAACTGGTTGTCATGTAACCTAGTATGAACTGCATTAGCCAATTCACTTCTTAATTCAAGCTCAGATCATTCTACACATTGCTAGGAATTTTCTTTTTCAAAAGTATTAGCATCCTTTAAATAATGTGCTTGATCAATGAGCTCTGTTGCTGAGCTGAAATGAAATGAAACATATTCAGCAAAAATGTACACTTCCTCCCCAACATTAGTGAAATCATACCATATGCAATGTAAGAGTGTTAAAACCAGGTAAGCACAATGAAATCCCATGAAATGTTGAAGTTCTATGTCAATCATACAATAACTAATGATTTCTTCCTTTAAGTTGTTTTAGAGATACACTTTTTCAATAGTGATTTATGTCAAAAGTGGTTCAAAATAAATCAAGTTTAAATATTAATCATGTTCATGCTACAAAACCTAACAGAAAATTAGAATAAAGCAAGAGCAACAATTCAACAAACAGAACATACCTTCAATATTGCAATGGTAAAATCAAGACCAAACATGAATATAAGCAAAATCACTAGTTAAAAACTTTTTAAATAAACAAAGCCCCCTAGCTTCATTGCTAACACTTCTCTTGTTGCATTTCAAAGAGCTCTCACAGTTTGGCACAGATGCAAAAGAGTCTTGGAGGTGCAGTTGAAAGTTCTCCTTTATCTTTCCTCCAAAAGAGACTGATAATGGGAAGTGGAAAATGGTGAACAGTAGCAACAATTGCCAAATTCTTACTTTAAGAAATAGTTTCTACATGAACTATGTAAGTAGCACAATCAAATTTGTACTAAACATATTCTGTTTCTTTTAATTCAACTGTTTCCTAAGAATTAACAGCAGAATGTAGTATTGAAACAAAACTGTAGAATGACAGTCAATATATCATCTTTTAATTGTATATTCATTTAACAGGGTAATTGCAACCTGCATAACTCTGAAATACTCTATTATGGCTGAGAATAAAGTGTTTGTTGAAAACCACATCATGAATCAGTATTATAGGAGAATAACAGAACTCCTAAACCCATGAGATTCTCCATTTATTGACAGATATTAACCCTCTGACATTCATGTTCTGATATGAAGCAATAGTCACACTACTGAAATTTAACAAGATTCTAATTTAACACCAGACTATGAGCTGAATTTTCACCATTTTGGCTGAAAGCAGATTATGGAACAGCAAAGCCTAGAAGAAGAAAAATACTCCAGAGAGTGCAGAACATATTAAGAGGCAGTTGAAATCCATATCAGTACACAGATGAACAATATAGACTTTGCAGAAATACATGACATTTTACTTGTTATATTCCACAGTGCTACTTATAAACATGTAATAAACCCATACAGGGTGATAGCTGAACAGAATTCCCTATTGCAGCCAGATGCATATACATATCCAGATGACTCCCTTGACGTCACAGGTGATCTACACAATGAGAAACATACATATAACTACCTGTGGATACTTGGCCTATTAATAACTCTAAAAAACAGGCTCTTTCAGAGCAATCCACAGATTTAAAGCTATTATAGATTTAAAACTATTATACAGCTTGTTGTTTCTTGGCAAAAAGAAATATCAACATAAGACAGATATAATAGAAAGGGAAGTTAAAATGAAGAGGATGGAAAATGGGTAGTGAAAACTGATCAGTTACAAATTAATGATTCCATCTTACTGCCTGTTGGTACTTTGAGCAATTATGGGGTAATCTAGCAAGGCCAGAGAACAAGGTACAGCCTGTGTTGACAGATGGCCCAGCAGTCCAAGCTGAACATATCAAGGATCAATTCTTGGCTTATGCAAGGGGAACCTGTTTGTTAGTGCCTCAAGCAATACTTCTCCTGGTTGAGTTTCAGATTAAAAAGCTGCTCTACCAAATGCCCAACCTCATGAATTATCAGAAAGAAGGGTGTGACTAAAGATGACAAGGTATTTGACACCATCTGGAGGAAAAATATACTGTGCCATCTCATTCTTAGGAAGATCTCATTCTATGATTTCAAAAATAGATTGGTAAAGTTCCCAGTATTCAGGGATATTGTAGGATTTGAAAAATGCAACCAGAAACCTGACCTATATATTGTATGGTAGAAGGTCTTCTGAAATTAAACCAATAAATGCTTCTCAGAAATCAGACCATCCACTCAACATATTATGAAGTATTTTGGCCAATTTGATTAGGAAGCCATGGATATCTAGATAAAAATTACTAAGAAACATATATGTTTGAGAAATGAAAATATGAACATACCTACATTTCAATAATGGAGTTAAACAATGGAAACATTATTTTATCTACATACTGCCTCAAAATAGAAACAGTTCAAGTTTCATTTTCACACTCTTGGAAACTTCCCCTCTTTTTTATTTTAGCAATTAAAATCATTTACGCAATGCCATAAAAATTCCTATCTTTCCTTGGAAGTATCGATTCTGTTTGTTTCTGGGATCCCATATAATCTAGATCCACCTTCTTAAGTCTTCCAGATACTGCTTGCTTGCTTATGTATTATCAAGTCATTTGCACTTCCTAGCAGTCAAATAGACACTTTTCTTATAATCATCCATCTCTAATCTTCCAGCGATGCACTAATCACCACTGTAACTGATTTTCTGCTGGTTGACTTCTTCTCTTCCTATCTCAGCATTACAGCCTTCTCCACAGAGCTAGGTCTCACATAATGACTCTAGTAATTTGTGCCTTGAGTGAGAATACTGGTTTCATTTATTGATGATCTACTGATTTGTTTTCTTGGTGTCCATGATATTTTCAGGAATCTTCTCCCACACCAAAGTTCAAAAATGTCAATAATCTTCCTATTTTTCTTCTTCAAAGTCCATTTCCAGATATATTGAATTATAATCTCCATAATTTCCAGTTAATTATTTTGCCTTTAGATGTATTTACCTCATGCGCTCATAGTCTTCTTGATGCTCAATTGTTTCTTTCATAGTGTATAATTTATTATGTCAGGGTTTGATCCTGAAAGGAGATTAGTTAATAATTGAATAATATTACTAAATAGGCAAGCAAGTTCTTATTTTACAAGCTGGAGGGTAGAACAACTTCCCTGCTCTTTTACGACCTGAAATGAGGTATCTTCACAATAAATGAGGGAATTATACACAATGCAAACATATCAAATTGTAAGATAAAATTGGAGCTATTATAAATTCTCCATTTCTGATCTTTAATTTTTAAAATCTCTTACTTTCATTATTGCAATTATGTTACTCCTACTGCCAAGTTTGTTCCCATAGGTGAATGCAAAAAGATCTAGTTTGAGAGCTAAGTTATTAAGTGTATGTTTGCCCTAGAATCTAATGTAGTAAGTTTGTTAAAATATCTGAAACATGCAAGGCAGAAATGAAGTTCTGGAGGGAAGAATGTATATTGTGGTTACATTACAATAGAAAGATTTGTGTTTGTTTTCTTCTGGCATTATATATACAACTATAATAAAGAAAAGAGGAGTGGGGGGGGGGAGAAGAAAGAACTGAAAGAGAAAGGAACTCCCTGGGGCTAAAATGAAAGTGAAGGGGAAAATGTACTCCTTCCCCCCCCCATCATGAAAGGGGCTTCATGCTCCAGTAGATTGCAGAGAAACATCTGATTCTTGCTCCAGTTCTCCTACATGTATTAATGCTGCCTCCTGTATCTGTTACATTCAGCAATCAGCTTGCTTTCTACCCTGCCATACGAATGTAGTTCTTATGCTGAGCTAACTAAGAATCCAGTCTCTTTTTTCTCCCATTTTTTTTTCTCCTGATTCTTGTGAGTGATGTCGGCAACTGGCTGGGAATTAAAACAACTGACTGCATTGCATTTGCTCAGTCCGTCAAAACACTGCCCTGCTCCCAGCAGCTGGAGAGTCAGAAGCTGAAAGGAATCAGTGTATCCTAGAACAAAAGCTACTTTCATGCCAAATACTTTTGATACAGTGAGAACTCAGTTCCTCTCTACATTTGAAACCAATAAGGCCCTTCTTTCTCTTATTTCCTGGATCCCACTTAACAGATTTTTCCAGGGAGAGGAGAAGAGAAAAAAAAAAATCAGTGGTTATGAAGTCACAAATAAGTGTAGTGATAACATTCTAAGAGACCTGCTGCTATGCCAAGTTGAATGAAATATAATGTTAAATCCTTTCCTAAGGGAAGCAATGCTATTGTTTGATCTGTGCCAAAACTTGTGGCTGTTAGCGTAAATTAATTTAGTAGTAAACTAATAAGGATATGTCAGGGCTTCCAAGCCCAATTCAAGGTGCTGTTCTTGACCTTTCAAGACCTTCATGGCATGGGACTGGGTTATTTGAGGAACTGCTCTCCTTGATTACATCTGCCCACCCCATCACATCTGGTAAGAGAGACATGCTACAGGTCCTGTCTGTCAAGGCAAGTACATTTGGGGACCCCAAGGAGGTGGGCCTTCTCTGTCTTATGGGACATTCTTATCTCTGCCCCCAACTGAATTAAGGTTAGTTCTATTCTTATTAATATTCTGGAATTCCCTCAAGAATTCCAGAATATTACTTGTTTAATAATTAATATGGTTTTAGCTTCTGTTTTTGAGTTTGATGAAAAAGATATCATGAAACAGCCAATAATATCAGCTTCTTCAAATTACCTCTTCCCCATTTATTTCATATTTTCCTGGCTAACTTATGGGAAATAGTACCATGAGCTACACACCATTTGTTGATATTACTCAAATGTTAGTAATTATTATTGACATCTTCCAGTTATGCTGCTCAGTATTTTTGGGCAAGTGTATTTCCTGCTTTGTAGACTTTCTACATCCACTGTTTTCTATACAGTACATAGTGGAGGAACATGTGCACTGAAAAATTATTGACATTTCTCTACCTCAGGTATGTCAAACTCACTATGTCACATGACGTGTCACAACATATCACAACTTTTTTTCCATCGCCAGCAATGGGGTGGGTGCCGTTTCAACATAACACATCCGGCCTGCAGGCTGACAGTTTGACATCCCTGCTCTATCTGAATATAACTTTTATTTTGTTTTGTATTTTGTAATTCCTATTATTTAAATAATATTTCATCATAGATTAAAAATTTCTATAATTATCTCTTAGTAATATTTTATTTAATCCTGAAGTCAGCATTGCCAGGTTTTAGTTAAGCTTTGCTATTCCTAGAAATCCTGACTTATTTTTTAAAAAACGAACAGTGTAACGATATTGTTACACTGGCAACTTGGTATTTTCATTTTCTAAGATATCTATTTAAAGGATATATTTTATATAATATCTGAAGCTATCAGCTCACAAACAATAATCTGGCCACATAATTGTTTTAATACTGAATTTGAACATTTTGTTATTGAAATGAATTTATGGAAATTCAGTACTTTACAATCCATGAAAAACTATATGCCTGTTCCTGTTAATTGACTGAAGATTTGTTCTACAAAAGGCATCTTAGCACATTCTCTTAGACTTGCTTTATTTTTATCTCCTGGGTCCATATACATTCTTATCTAGTCTTTGCCAGACTTTTCTAAAATCAATTGTTCGATTGTCTTACATTGTAGATTCTTTTAAATTGTTTCTTCTTGTTTTTGTTCATTTAATTCATTTCTTTTAGTCAATGCCACCAGAATTTTCCGTGTTGCTGAAATTTTAAGTGGTATCTATGGATGCATTTTTATGGCATGTAGCTTTTGTAAACAACTGGGCTCTTGAAATGCAGGTTTTGTAATATCTGTCATCATTGCATTGCTCTTCTAAATTTCCCCATTAAATTAACCTCTTACAACATGTTTAAATTAGTCATGGTCCTTAGGTCCAAATACAACTTATGCATCAAAATCTGCAGTTGGAGTTTCAACTGAACTGATTTGTCTTTATAAATGCATTTCATATTACATTTATGGAACACTTGTAGTTTTCCCCCATGTTATTAATCTAGAATTTGAATATTTAAGTGGTTCAGTTTGTATGCTTTTTAAATTTGTTGTTTGAGCTTCTGTCCTGTTCATCTATAAATTACATTGCTGTATCCCCATACTTTTTATACCTATGCATCATTCAGGTTGCAGAACTAAGGAAGGGGGGCAAATCTAATGGGATATCATTTGTATTATGTCTGCCAATGTAGGTACTGCTTTGGCTTAATATTTTCTGTTTCTGTTCTGTTTCATAAACCACTGAGTTGGCTTTTTCTACTGGGTGGTCTAGAAATGTAATCAATTAATCAGTAGCTTGTGAGTTCAAGTCCCATCTTATCCATGAAAGCCAGCTGGGAGATTTGGGGCTAGTCACTCTCTCTCAGCCCAACCCATCTCCCAGGGAAAAGGAGAAGCAAAAAGTGTGTTGGATATGTTTGCTACCTTGAGTTACTTGTAAACACCCCCCCCCAATAAATGAATGAATGAATGAATGAATGAAAATAAATAAATAAATACATCTTCAAGAAATTCTTTCAGGCAAGTCACACCTTTTTTTCCCTTTAGTGCTCAGCTTTTTTTTTTTTTTAAGAGACCCTGCCAGCTGGGTCAATGCTACGTGAAAATCATGGTGAGCACTAAGATGGGGAAGGCTTCTAATTCAAATGTGTTTTTCTCTATACCTTTTAAAACAACGTAACAAATAGTAACCATGCATTTTCCTCAATTTTAATTTTATTTTCTGTTGGTTTCTTGCACTCATTCTTTCATTTTGTGATTCAAAATGCATAATTGTACTGGTCTAAATCAAATATTATTGTATATTTTGTTCTATGGAATCATCAGTTTTTTCCCCTCGTATGGCATTTCACATTCAGGAACATTTCAGAATGATAATTACAGGGTTATCATACATAAAAACAATTAATCCAAAAAAGTGAGCTTCTGTTCAATCTCTCTACAAAGCAAGATGCACAAGCTTTCTTTCTTTCTTTCTTTCTTTCTTTCTTTCTTTCTTTCTTTCTTTCTTTCTTTCTTTCTTTCTTTCTTTCTTTCTTATCTGAAAGGCTTCTAAGCCACAATGTTTAAATAGAAAGTGCTAATTCTGTCTTAATATCATCCACTGTCAACCAAATTTTGTATCTGAGATGGAATGGAAATACTAGGTTACATCTGTCAATGGATTTCAGGAGCAAATAGAATCTAACAAAACCAGGTAGGATGAATGTTGCTCCAGTGGATTCTTTTCAGAAATACATTGATGGATATTCTTTCCCACGGATGACCCCCTAACAGGAACTCAAGTCCTTCTACAACAATGTTGATATTAGGAGATGGTGCTAATAAAAGAAGTGAGAGCACATGCTGGGCTCCCCTTTGCATAGCAAAGCCATACTTTTTAATGCCAGGAATGGTTTTTGAAGGCAAAATATGTTTAGATAGGTACTCTACACATAACTGAAGTTAACAATGAGAAAGTTTTAATCAGGCTTTCCTTCCTCTCATTTAAATGCTTGAGCTGTGATACCATCAATATGCTGAGAATCGCCTGCTTTACAAACTCCACGTTATGTGGGGTGGTTGTTGGCATCTTATTCCAGTCCTGGGATGCTGTAAGGATCTGTATTAAAAAGAGCAGGTTGAAGATGAACCCAGAACTGCTGTGTATTGTATTTCTCTACAAATCAGTGTTATCATTGGACAGGCTTAAACAACCCATGCAGGAACAATGTACAATTTGGGGTCCTTCTGCACTCATGGCTCCTGCTCAGGCTGCAGAAGAAAGACATGGCTAGAAAGGCTTTTGCCCAGGTTATGTGGTGCACTAAAGTCTCACCTGGTACAGGAGAACCTAACTAGAATAATTCATGTCCTCACTACCATTCAGAATACTACAATGCACTTTATGTTACAACTGGTCTGGAATGCAGTGACCTATGTTAGGCACATATAAGGCTAATACTGTGGTTCTTATGTTAATTACCAGTTGGTTCCTAGGTACAATTTCAGGTGTTGATTTTATAGAGACTTATAAAGTCCACTCATGCAGTGGGCTCTCACACCTATAGGCAGCTTTGCTTATCCTCTGGAGAAAATCCTGAAAACATCCATTTTCATATTTGATTGTTTACAGAAATAAATCTTAAACTGCTTTCTGTGAAGGAAAATAAAAGTCTCAGGAATCCTATGACTGATTACCATCAGGATATGTTGATATCCAATGAGACAGAGGAAGAACTTTAGGTTCGTATGCTTCCCTCACCATCTGATACACCGTTTTCTTGTTGATTGGATGACATGGATGAGCCTATTGTGTTAGGTACTTAAAGGTATATGATCTGACTCACAATAAAGATTTTGAATATGGCAGAAATCTATTCCTGCATGTGCACTTATGAAATACAGTTACTATTCTCCATTCCAAAGAAGTGTATGAACCATCTTTAAGGGAAACATTCAAAAACAAAATAATATCTTGCTTTTATTTTGAAGTAAAATTTGTCTAAGAATTTTATAATCTGTATAATCAGGTCTGGATAAGGGTCATGGAATCACAGAAACTGTAGATGTTTCTAAAAGTCATGGATTTTTACATACAGCTATAAGCTTCCATGATACACCTCTGAGAAAGAGATTATCCTTTGGATATGCAGAGTTAAACAGACAAAAATGAGTGCATCCCCAAGATGCACTCAAGAAAGGAACCAGGAAATGCTTCTGTAGCTAATTAATTCAGTATTAGTGTTACGGTCCATCCTTGTGAAAGTTTGCCCAACCCCATCTTAGCTATAAACTCTCATGTCAAGTGGCTTTGTCCAGTGTTGCTGTGTGCCTAATGTTCCAGCTAAGATTGCAAGTTCTAATTTATTGTGCTTTGAGATCCTTGATGAAAGGCATGACAGGACTGCAAAGTGCTTCATCACATTAAAAAGCCAGAGTTATAAAGCCTCTGTGGCCTCTGGCAAACATTTCATGTGACAGACTCAGCTCTTGCTTTACCTCTCTGTGAAGAAAGAAAAATTCACATCTTGCACAGTGTCCCATGACAATTGCTTTAATTAAAACACCATAGGATGTCAGTAAACACAATGTTGCTGAGTGACAGGAATTCCAGAGCCGGAAGGTGGCAATTCCAGGGAAAAGGGAGGGCAATTTGAATCATGAATCTCCTTCTTCTGCCTGCAGAAGATCCACAACTGGTTCTCAGAGTGAGACCATCAGGTTTTATGCAGGACTTTCATGAATATCCCTTTTAAGAGCAGGTACAGGTAATTCTCAATTTACAACTATTCATTTAGTGACCATTCAAAGTTACAATGGCACTGAAAAAAGTGACTTGTGATTGTTTTTCACACTTATGACCGTCAGCATCCCCATGGTCACATGATCAAAATTCAGATGCTTAGCAACTGGTTCATATTTATTATGGTTGCAGAGTCCCAGGGTCATGTGAGCACTTTCTACAACCTTCTGACAAGCAAAGTCAATGTGGAAGCCAGATACACTTAACAATCATGTTACTAATTTAACTACAATGATTCACTTAACAACTGTGGCAATAAAGGTCGTAAAATGGTGCAAAACTCACTTAACAAATGTCTCACATAGCAACAGAAAGTTTGGGCTCAATTGTGGTTTGTATTACATGGGGGGTGGGTGGGTTGCATTTCATTTGCAGAAATGTGTGCAAGAACAGAGTTCCTGCTCAGAAGGCATAGTTTAGAGATGGGATGGGATTATCTTTTTTGTTTTACATTCTTTTGAAAATTTCTGAGTTTAAATCCTACTTCTACCACCACCACTCCAGTTCAGAAATCTTGGGCTAGTGTAATATTTTTTTCCAAATCCAATAGACATGTTTCTTAAGGGAGAAGAGTTAAATGGAGAGATATGGTAAAGCAGTAAAGGTCATAAATATATCAGATGAGAGTCTAATGAGTTTCTTAGAGACTCTACATAGATTACATGCAACATAGAGAACAACATAGAGCAAAAGGAGTTGGAAAATATATACATACAAACATGTACATTTGGACAGAAAGTGTAAGCTAGTAATAGCAGCATCAGTGTTATTGTGACTAACACATTAAAATATGTGCTTATTTCACTATTTAGCTAATGTTCTAGTTTTTAGATCAGAGACCTTGAATGCAGAAGCTTTAACACAATATGATAAATTCTTTGATGCAAGGGCCATTATCAGACTGACCTAATTGAAATGCTGAAGCCAAACATATGCACATACATACAAACCCATGCATTTAGCACTAAATCAGATGAATATGGATTGACAGGAAAATAAATTTTCTGACACACCATTTCTATCACAGCCAAGAATGATATATTAAATTTATCTCTTAAAACTGTAATTCCTTTAAAAAGTATTATATACTAGAATTCCAGAATAAACCATTTCACTGATGTTGCATATTCATGTTGCATGAATGTTCACACTTTGAGGGCCATTGTGTGATTTTGACATTTTAAAAGTATGGCATTAAGAAGATGCTTGTCACAAAATGGGTTGCCTTGCTGAGCATAGCTAGAAAGCAAATTTTACCACATATATGTATAACTATTCTGTTTTCAGGTTAGCATTATCATCCTGCAGACCAACCACAATACTTTTATTCATATAAAAATCTAGAAAAAATATAAGTACAGTTTCACTTATAGTTGTGGAAAATTGATTTCTATTATTATTTTTAACATATTAATAATATATTGCATATGTTTTCAACTCTTAAAAACAAGCTATTCCTATTTAGCTGCATTTTGCTGTACTACTGGATGCCGTCTTTTTTCGGGGAGCTATGCAGCCAGATGCAATGGTGGGATTGAAGAGAAAGAGAGATAGTTGGACAATCAAGATAGATGCAAACTAAATAACCCATAGTTAATAGAAAACAAAATCTACACAAATCCAAGATAGAAAAGTAGTAAGTGTTGCTCTATGAATAATTGCTTTCCAAGTGATATCCTGATTAAAGCTTTAAAAATACATAATCACTTGAATTCCTTTCATATCCTTATAGGGGAATTGTTTCCTGACTGGAGGAGCAAGAAGTCTCTCTGTTATGCCTTGATGGACTTATTAAGGTACTATTCTATCGGCTCCTGCCTGAGTTTCTCTAGCTCTCCAACAGAGAATGAAAGAGAATGCAAGGTGTCAGTCACAAGACAAATCCCAGGGACACTGAGGGGAAAAAAAATGGAAAGATTGCATCTTCTATCCACCTCCATTTTTATGCTGCAGGTGATAAAGACAAAGAAGCAACTAATAAAGGGCAGAGTTTTCACCTTTCTTCAAAAATAGCATGGAAGCCATCTGGCTCACTGTTATCTCCTTCTGGCACTTTAACTATGGCAAGAAAAGGCAAAGCTTCTCCATGTGGGAAGACTCTGAGACACTTGTTTATGTAACCAAATTATTTTACCAGCAGTTCTTTTACCAGTTCCATAAAAGGTCCGTCATTTCTAGTTAGCCATTTTAACCTCATAAATTTATGTTATTGCTATGAAATCTGTCCTTGAAGCTTATGAAACCAAATTAGCAATCAGGATCTATGCAGAATTTGCCTTATCATTATGTTGTGCTGCAATCATGGAATAGGCAACTGAACAACTCCCTCACATACATATTCCATATTGGATTTGACTTACAATATTTTTCCAAACAGTTCCTGTATATGTATTTGTCACATTTCTTTTCAGAATATTCCAGCAAAGTCAAAGAGCTCCTAATTTTATACAACTGAGTGAAAAACCCTCTGTTGACATTGCTCAGTGCCTGCATGTCTGAATGACAACATGTCTGTTAAAAAGTAATGGAATCAGGTATTGGAATGTCAATGTATGGAACTGACATTTACAAAATAAATAGCTATTTTCTGATGGATGATCTAAGATAGAAGGCAAGGGATTTAAAGAGAGTTGAAATCAGAGCCACCATATCCTCTTCCAAAAAATATCAGTGATGCCTTCTTCCTTCACTATAACATCCTGAGAACAAAAGCTACTTAGATAGCTCCAGTCTTAGAAATTGCAAATGGATGAAAAAAAAGGGAACTAAAGAGGCCCCATAGGTCCAGATGACAAATGCTTCTGCAGGATTCCTGCAAATAATGGAACCTTAATCTTAACTCTTATCACTTTGTACTTCTTACATTTCTATTTCTATTGCTTTCATCAATGTTAACGCTCCAGACTGCTTCCACTGAAACTGCAATAAGCAAGATAGCTTAAGTCTTCCTCCAGCTTAAGGAGAGAAGAGTAACATTACAATAACTGATAAATCTGGAAAAAGATCATTAAGAAAGCCATGAAACATCACTGAAAAAGAAAAAGAGGACTCAGATTTATACAAAATATATTTATACATAGAGCATCACAAATGTAGAAGTACTATGATTTAAAAAAGAAATATATCTCAAATAAGGAGGAAAAATGTTCAGCTACTGTCTGCATTTATTCATTCTGCTATGCACATTTAACTGTTAATCGGTAACTTAAAAACTCCAGTTCTTTCTCATCGCTCTTTAAAATAGATCGAAGAATATAATCTTTCATATATATAACTCCTTTAAACAGACAATCCTCTTTCAGACATCCCCTATGAGTATCCCCCTCAGTATCAAGTAGGAGACATAACTGTCCTGTGATTAAAAAAAACCTGAGTAGTATTTAAACCTGGATTCAAGAGGGAAATGATGGTTTGGAACATCTGTGAGCATTCACATAGCAATTATTGTCAGTTCCTTTATCCAGGCTTGCCCGGCAGCAACTCAGCAATGCCAGGACAAGGCACAAGTTCTTTAAAGAAGTGCTAATGAGTATTGTGAGATGATCCTGAGCATCTTTTTCCTTTGAAATCAGAATCATTGAACAGTTCTAACTGTACCCTAGGGCAAGAAACAGGAAACAATAGTTTCCAAAGTAGTATCTATCATGGTTGCTTCTATAGGTTGATGATGGTATGTAATCAACTTTGATGCTCTGCTGCAGCATCTGAAGTTTTGCAAAAGCAATAACAATAGCATTCAGACTTATATACCACTCCACAGTGCTTTACAGCCCTCTCTAAATGGTTTACAGAGTTAATATATTGGCCCCAACAAATAGGGTCCTCATTTTACCTACTTCAGAAGGATGGAAGGCTGAGTCAACTTTGAGCCAGTCAGGATCAAACTCCTGGAATGGGCAGTCAGTTAGCCTGTAGTGCTGCATTCTAACCACTGTGCCACCACGGCTCTTAGAATGTCAAATATTGTCTTTAACCATAAAGACCATCATTATATGTTTTATTGTATCATACTGATAACAGTATGATTGTAAATTAACAGTATGATTGCAAAAACTGATACCTCCTAAACTAAATTAAGTAGGTAAAAGAAGTTGCATTACCTAAAACTATACCTGCTATACATTTAGCAACAGCATGTTATGGTAACACAGTTGATTTCAAAATCCAAATTCCAAAAGATTGATAAGTTCTTATCAGTCTCTCAAAACATTTCCTCAACACATCATTATTATGATCATAAATTGCATAATTACTTTTTTGGCAACAAACAATTTTGGTAATTTGTTCTAATGAAAAGAACAAAAACATAAAACATTCGCAAAATATGATGTGCTAGAGTTTTACATGCCATTTACTCTCTTTTTATTTTTGGCGATTTCAAAATAAATACTATTTAACATTCTCAGTTACAAACATGAAAATGCCAGCATTAACCTAGCATTTCTTCCTCTCACTGTTCTAAGAGACTCTTAAGAGCACAGTAACCTTTTTTGTTTAGCTAACATAACAGCTTTGAGGCTCACTTTTTACTTCCCTAATTACTGAACTTCCTACCCAGTAATTAAATGATAAAGATTCATTACAGTTTTCCTTGATTGCCTGATTGGCTCCATTTTTCAAGGTCTATAGGGACATTCCACAATCCTTGCATTTAGAATCACATTTCTTCTTGAACAGCCACCAAAGCCATAAGCTATTATAGTAGAAAGAATGGCTTAAATAAAAAGTAAATGTGTCTGTCTGGGTGATATTCTGGACCTCCCTGCCCTATTCTTCCAATCCCACCTCAGTGATTGCTACCAAAACAAGCAGCTGACCTCTCTGACTAGAAATCAACACATGAGCCTTCCTGTCTGTGGCACGCCACTTTGGAGGCCTGTTGTAGGGAAAGGAGTTCAAACAGAAAATCTATTTTTAATGACTTTAGGGAGTTCTGGGGAGATGCTGAGTAATTCAGTGTAATTAAAGCTATCCATCACTCAGTGAGTAAGAACTGGAAGTTGATGAACTTTGCTGTGATATTTTTGTTCATTTAATATACGATATGTACTACATTCTATCTATCTGTCTGTCTGTCTATGCACCACACACACACACACACACACACACACACACACACACCAGTAGGAGTAATAAAATCAATGTGTAGCAACTGCATGCATGTAGACAGTACAGCTCATCATTTTGAAGTTCTTAGTGCAGTATGAATTTAGAGAAAATAAATATAAGAGACAAATCTGGATTGTACTAAATGACAGAGGACAAAGTTATTTTTTTTTGTTCATAATTACATGCTAGACATCATTGCCATTCAACAAACAACTATAGATTTAAACTTGTAAGACCTGATTTTAATACATAGTTCTTAAAAAAGAAAAAGTAATGGAATTCAATATATATCCATATAATCATTAGTTTACTTACCTCACTCATTTATGGGATTTCACATAACACTAAACTCCAAGTTTTAATTTATTTAGTAATCCACAATTGACTTGGTCAAGCTAAACTATAAATTATCACATAATGCACAATGTATGGGCACACTTATTCTTAGCCAACTACAAACATGTTACACTATAGCTTTCATCTTCCTTTCATTTCTCACTGCTTACCTAGATGGAAAAGTTCACAACTACACTTAAATTCACACACCTGTAAGGCATGCAATGCAATTACTGACTTGGATCAAAACATTATTTTGGTGTCTGTTACTAAGGTTTTTCTGGATGCCAGTCCCACTAGTAATTGGCATAAAGCTATGCCAATTTTAGCAAAACACACAATGGAAGGACAGTTTTATATATTTTTGATCCACAAGAAAATGATGGCTTCAAACTGGGTAGGGGGAGGGCAGAGGCATCTGTCAGGCTTTGACTGATCTTACAGAATTAAGACCAGGAAGCCCCCAAAGACAGTTATTTAATTCATTGGTTCTTAAAGGTCAACATTTCACACAGATGACAGTAATTGTATGATTACCTGCACATTGACATTATTGCAGTTACTAAACATGCATATTTATGCTATCTTCACAGAATTGGATTAATTTTAAAAGATAATATGATTTATATTTCAATAATTCTAGAGGGTCAACAAGGCATCCCCTCTAATTTGGGTTATCAAAGGCTGCCATAGAACTCTTTTGGGAATATAACTTCATAATTCACATTCTCCTTATAAATGCTTTGAACTTAGTGTTTCACATGATATGAACTACTGGTAAATCTTAATTACACCAGTTAATATGTTTATATTACAAACAACAATGAGAAATCAAGCTTTTTGAACTTTGGGGCAATAATTATCTGAACTTTTTTACACATATATTTTATAGATTATATCTGCAAAGACGATGAAGGCTTGAAAAAATGATCCAAATGATCATTGGAGATCTCCATTCTACTTCACTTAAACTCAGTACTAGGATGTTAATTTTCTAAGATTATATCTATATATTTTGAAAGATAACGAGAAAAAAACTGGAAAGGAAGAACTACATGAACTTTATAGAAGAAAATTTATTTCTATTATGTCTATATTTGGTGAAGGTAATTCTTAATTTGATCAAATAAAAATAAAAATACACTGCACAAATAACACATTAGAAAGGCAATATCTCAGAGATAGAGACTGCATAAGATGTATGCAATTGACTCAATTACTGGCATTATCAAGGAGGAATTGGTTAACTTTTGCCCAACACAATAACTGTTCCCTAATACTCTTGATCCTTCCTACTAGAACAAAGGTTTATATAGTCCAGTATTCTTTCTCAGGCTCGAAACTTGGGACTGCATAAGAAGAACATGAGGATAACTTTCTACTCTACTTCTATTTTCTCTTCCCACCAACTGGGACTCAGAGGAATATTGCTTGGGTGATATCCAAGGGGAAAAAAATCACTATGAAATTTATCTAATCCCAGTTTAAAGCATTTTAGGCATGACAATATTCATCACATCTCTTAGCAGTGCCTTCCATAAATTAATTCAACTGTCATATCTGTCATTACAGTTATGGTAACTCTGTTC